CCCCCCCCCCCCACTGAAACACTAAATCATCGCATGTTGGAGAGTCACTGTATTAGTTTTCTATTGCTGCTATAAGAAATTATCACAAACTTATGGCTTAAAACAACACAACTTATTCTCTCACAGCTCTGGTCAGAAATCCTGAAATTCAACATGTTGGAAGATCTGTCTTCCTTGGTGAAGGCTCTAAGGGGGCACCTGTTTCCTAGCCTTTTCTGGTTTCTAGAGGCTGCTGGCTTCCCTGGGCTCACTGCCCTGTCCTCCGCCTTTTGAAGCCAGCAGCTTGGTGCCTTCTAACATCTCTCTCTCTTCCCTCTGCTTTTGCAATTCTCTTTATCGGACCCTAACCTTTCTGTCTTCCCCTTACAAAGACCCTGTGCATAACTGAATTTTACTGCTTGAGGACAGACTGGCATACAGTTAAGGATTTTTAGGGAGGATACATTTAATGTAAAGGCTCTCAGCCTCCTAGTGGATTTTGAATTCCGTGTGACTCAGTGATCCAGGAAAAAACAGAAGCATAAAGTTGCCTACTACTGTAGTGTTAATAAAACAATATTAAAAAAAAAGACCAGGCGATTTCATTGAGACAACCTTAATAATTGAAGATACACTTCCCACCTCGGATCTTTAACTTAAACACATTGGCAAAGTCCCTTTTGCTCTATAAGGTAACATATAAGGCACAGGTTCCAGGGATTAGGATGGGGACAACTGTGGGGGGCAGTTATTGTTTCTACCATGGCCACTAAGGTCACTCGAACGAAAAGAGAATATTCAAATATCTTTGCAGCTATGTGCAATATTAACCAAGAACACCTGCTTAAAAAATCCGTTCATACGAAACGGTGAAATGATGAAATGATGAAACATCCGTCTTCTTCCCGAGAACTGAGTACATAATGTCTATAGGACATAATGATTAACTGTGAAGAAACACAAGGAGGGTTTTCCCCTAGAGGTGCTTCTTGACATAGTAAAAATCAAGCATGTTTTCACTTCCTCTCACTTACAGGGGAGGTGACGGTCACACCCTGGTTGTCAGGGAGAGCATGTGCTTGTTCAGAGATACCCGTGTACCTGTGGCACTAACGGGGTTAACAGGCAGACGGGTAATGTGATCGCGCGAAGTCTTACCTGTTTGAATAGAGCGTAGTCCTGTCGTGTGGACAATGTTCATTGACATATAAGGAAGAAGAAGAAATCGTGGTTGCCAAGGAAGCAGCTTCAAAGAGTGAAGGAGTGCTAGGCACCAGGTCCGGCCTGTGTCGGGATCCCAGGGCTGGGTGACAAAAGCAGGAGAGAGACTCATGAATCTCAGTAGTAAATGCACTGGAGTCGAGTCAAAAGCACTCATTTCGCAGATCAGGTTGCGAGTTAAATGATGAATTCACCTCACTCATCTGAACTACAGCAGACCTGTAAGACAGCTCCTTGCAAACAGGTTAAACAGAAAGGGGACTGCATTAATTTACAAAACAGCTTATGGAAATGACATTATGAATGTTCTTTGAAAAACCTAAGAAAGTGATTTACTGTTTCAAAAGATGACATCAAAAGCTCATAGGAGCTTAAGGAGATAATGTGACAGGGATTAACAGGATGATTGGCCAATGTAGAAACACACAGGGCACCCGCTCTCCCTCCCTGGG